TGGAACCTATGTACTTTAGGTCTCGTCAGTGACATTAAGTGAAGGGCCTATCGAAACCGGTCATTATAATAATAATTTTATTTATTTTCTCATCACGAAAAGCTAATATATCAAAGTTTGTTACATCATAAGCTTAACAAATAACAGTAAGAGAAGCACACACATGTTTTTTTACCTAGTACTGACTGATGTCTGTACTAGGTAAAAAAACTTGTATTACAGATCGCAGGCACTCAGCCTTATTTACAGTTCTAAGTTTATTACATTGTATTTTTAGCATAGACTTTAATTATATAAGTATGGAATTGCAATTACCCGTCACGAATCGAGTAATGTCTGATGTAGTGAGATGTGGTGTTCAGAGATGCACAAAGACCTTTTTATCTTTCCGTAATCAAATATTTCATTAAAATCGTTAAAATTAACATTTAAATCTTTTTGATACAACAACAACAATCAACTGTCTCATCAAAATTAGCAGAATGACTTTTTAATACAGTTCACATCTTTACGTTTTACCGAAACAATTATTGTACAGGGTTTGCCGTGTCGGTAAAATAAAATTGTTGTATATGTATCTACGCTTTAATTTTTTAAATCCCGGCTTTTGTGTCTGTGTGTGTGTATCTGCGTGTCTGTCTTTGGCATCATAGTTCTTTAACGAAAAGACCGATTGTGATGCGGTTTTTTTTGTTTGAAAGCTGACGTGATCGAGATGGTTCTTAGCTATAATTTATGAAGATCTGTTTACCCACTGAGTAGCCATTTGATGATTATCATTACTTTCCTACTTGATAAGAGGGTTTTACTAACTTTCACAGATCCGATTGCTCAATTCTTCAGAAACTTACAGCAGATATAGCGTTTTTGGGCTCTTAAAAAGTCTCAATGAGAGTTATCTATTAGAATTAGTGACCGCGAGTAATTTAAAAAGAATGAAATTATTAACATTAAAATTTTAAGTAACCCCGACATAAAAAAAAACTCTATAAAGTAAAAATATAAAATTTCTTGTTTCTTGGCCTTTTAACTTCATTAAAGTACCCATTAAAATGTTGTTCGCGCCTCATCGTCAAGTTGAAGTTTCTGAGAAGAATACGAATAAAAAAATTAATTTAAAAAAATACTAACTTTTATTTAAATGCTCTAAAAAACAAAAAAGTATAACTTCTTACGAATTACATACACACTTTTTATATACTTGGTGGCTTAAATGTTTATATTTGTTAATATGCCATAAAAAACCTAACAATCTCCCATAACACTAGTTATGAACTTATAAATAGGTGGCGCTGCCCGAAATTAGCTGAGGCAGTATACGTATTTATTGAGTAATTTTCAATAATACTTGCAAATCGCCAGACGAATTTACCGGTTTTAAACCATTCCCAGACGTAAATAAAGTTTACAAATGAGTACTATAAAAAAGCATACTCGTATACATAAGCATGGGCTCATATTTGTTTTCAATATTTATCTTATTATATCATAATCGGTAGTCTGCTAGACTATCGGTCAGGAATTCGTAGGTCTTGATCCTATAGGATTAGGATATATTTTCACTTTAAATTATTTAAAATATTTTTTTACCTTTTTTAAATACTTTAAATGTTAATGTAGTATAAAGATTAATTCTATTCCTACCTAATATTGTTCAGCAAGTTTACAATTCGTAGTTTTGCTATACTGAACGTATAGGCGTTTCACTTAAGCTCCAAATATAAAAATTAAAGACCTGGCAGAATTAGTAATTACTTAATTGAGACAAAAATTTAGTTTTTTATATTTTTACACTATATTTTATGTTATTAACATGAAAAATGGTGTGATTAAAAATTAAAAGATCCTAAGAAGTAACATAACAAGATAAGTAAAAAAAATATCTGGATATGAAGTCCGTCCAATCATTTCAAAATATTTATACGGCTAACGATTCACCCTCGCTTCGCTCGGATTTGTCCCTAACTTGATTTCCCATACTAACTTTGATCCCCATTTTCACCCCCTTATGGAACGATTTCCGGAAAAAAAGTACAACCTCTATAACGGCACAAACTCACAAACTTTACCTCTTTATAATATTAGTATAGATAAGTATACACATATACTACATAGTACATGTAATTTTTTGTTGTGAATGGTAAGAAAACAAATGATCTCCACATAAGAAATTATTTTATTATCACGATTAACTTATATCATTATAATACCGCAAAAGTAATACATTTGATTATGCTATTTATATTTTTGTACCGGTTCGTCAACGAACATTGTTTATCGGTACCGTACGTAATAATTTTTATGATACATCTAAAAATTATTGCTTTAATAAATTATTAATTAACATACTACACATGCCAAGTTAATACTACATGCGTGAGCGCATCACAGAGATTCGCCTAAATATTACGATACTGGACGTGAATAAGTTAATAGATTCCTACTTTTATGCTTTAAATACATAACATGTGTACTTTAAAAGAAACAATGATGATGATGATGATGATGATGTTCTCCTAGCCAATTCCGGCCACGGCGGCCAATCTCAATGAGATTAGCCAACTGCGCAGGAGATATTATAGTGCTCAAGTGTACGCGCAGACACAAGTGCACTCTCTATTCCTATCACTCTCATACTCCGGTGGGACGACCACTCGACACGACCGGTGAGAGTTAAGGCGCAGGACCGACGGCTTTACGTGCTCTCCGAGGCACGGGGGTGAAACACCGCCAACTTCCCAACTCCGGGCTGTTACTGAGACTTACTATACAGGAAGACTCAATAACTAAACTTGGCCCGACCCGGGACTCGAACCCAGGACCTCCGGGTGTGCAACCGTACATGCTAGCCACTACACCACCGAGGCAGTTTAAGGCAAAAGAAACAATAATAAATATATGTCATGTGAAGATTAATTAATTACAGTCATTTTTGCAACCAGGAAAAATATATAATTTCTATTATAATAGTAAATAGTATAATATTGGTATACATTTAAATGATTAACTTATTCACGCTTAGTTTCAGTTCCTATTTAGGCTAGGAACAAATATTCTACTTCTAAAATCACAATTATATTATAAAGAGAAAGATAAAAATCATATTGTTTTTTATACAATTATAAAAAATAGTAATTAAAAATTATATCGAAAATTAAAAAAAAAATCGAGTTGTATAAATTATAATAATAATATGTAAAGTCGATGTCACTTTCCATCTGCAGATTATTACGTATACGTTGAGTACGATTTATTTAGTAATTATAGTTTTTTTATTAAACCATTCTTTTTATATTTTCAAATGCAGTACAATCACTTCTCACATGCTTTTATAACGTTCTAAAAGTATACTAAAGTATAAGATAGATTAAAAAGAAACATAGATAATAGATAAGTTTTACATAATCTTGGGTATCGCGTAGATATGTACATATGTAAATATAACAAGTTTCCACTACTTAGTACATTTAGTTAATTGATATTTATATAAATTCCTGAATTCATATTAATAATAATTAAATAAATATAGGTACTAATTTGTTATGGAGTTGATAACAAAAAAAAAACAATGCTTAATTTTTGGTATTCATTGTCTTATTGACGCTTATTAAAATAAATCTTAAATAAATGCATGTATCGCAAACCGAATTCGTCGGTTAGCGGTTTACTATCACACGAATACATACTTTAATAAATGCTGCAAAGTAATATTTATCCTATCTTTTTACATTTTAGCTATACATTAGAAGTATAAGTAAATAAATAAATAATGGTTTGGGCAGTTCATGGTCAGCCTTTTTATTGGCGCAAAGGAATACATATCATGAACTTAAATTTTATTGCAATATAGGGAATAAAATAAAAATAATAATAAAAAAAACTTGAACTTTAAACTTGTTTGAAAATTAATTGTACATTATAAATCTAACATTTAAAATGTACGACAAGATATAGATAGCGTTTCCATGAATATTTCGAAATATATTATTTACTTTAATATTATGTGGTTATTGCCTGAAAATTTTAATTATATATGGATGATGAATATAAATATGAACAGACTTATTACGATTTCTTTAAAACGACGCTTTCATTAAATTGACGATTCAAAAGTACTTGTAATAAGTCTAATTGAATAAAGTTTATTTCAATTCATTTAAGTATAGAAAACCCGGATATATGGATATTGATATGAATAAGACATAAATAACTGTAACCTGTAGGTCTGTATGTGTTAGACTGTGTTCTCTGAAAAACAGTTTCGCAGGATAGATGGTACAAAACTCTAAAAAATATATATATAGGAAACCAAATGAATTTTATAGCCAAAATTGGTTAATTATATTACAAATTTTTCGAGAAAGGAGAATTAAGAGTTTCTGTTAGTTATTTTTTTTTCATTGGGAGTAAAAGATAAAGTATTTAATATAGCAAGGTTAACATGTCTTTTTTCATTACCTTAACGAACATAATGCTCAGGATTTTGCTAGATTGCAAATATTTTCTAACTTTACTTAAACGAACTTAACTAACGCACGCTTATAGCGGAAATGGAATTAGGTTGATGCTTTCTTATATTTTAATACTAAATAGGTACCTATGATGCAATATCTACAAAATCATTTAGACAAAATTTCGGTCATGTATCGATATATTATTGAATTATCATGGTATGAATTTGTAATTTAATAACAAATACTTCATTTATTTTCACTTAGATATCTAACTTTGTAACTCGTGTAATTTTTTAGCAAAACATATTATGGCTAAAGCTTTTTAAGGGACATCCTTTTAGGAACTAAGCTTAAAGTATTCTGGCAAAAGTTAATTGTTCTTTGATTTTCTAACCATCACGTTGAATCACTTTGTGAGTAAGCACGTGCGAATAATTCCGTGTTGCTCTCCACAAAATATATTCAAACAACTATTTTTCAATTATATAATGTCTTTTTCTTCCTGTGTCGCAGCTATCTAGCATGCTTTCGATATTTCCTAGATCAGTGCGTGGGTAGAGTAAGACGGTCCGCCTGGGAGCGAGCTGGCAACATCCTGGCTGCAAGGTAAGACCGCGCACAGGCGATGCAAGTCGCTACGCCATGTGCAAATATCATGACTGCTGCGCATAGTGCTACGAAACCGAGCGCTGAGCCTGAAAGTTTTAAACAAGTTTTTCTTAATAAATTGTATGTGAATAAAATATATGTATCTAGTATCTACTAGTTTCAGCACACAGCTAAAATCATTAAAGTGGAAATTTTGCCCCAAAGGAAAAAAATATCGAGATGAAAAACTCAGTCTAAAGATATAGTGTTATTCCAGGATAAGATCATATAATGGTAAAATTATGCACAAATCTCTTCAACGTTTTACGTGTCATCAATCGTCTTAATACTTTCACTTTATTATATGATTGGCGTCTCTTGATAACTTTGCGCACATGTCGCGATTTATTTTTATTGTTCAATATCTCCAAAGACAAAATATTATTATATTACTATTAAGCATCTACTATTCTATAATATATTACTATTAAGCATCTACTTATGACGATGAAATTAGTTATTTTATAAGGATTATTATTATTATTTAACGTCTTAATATTTAACGACGAGAAAAAAATTATCAGAGATGAGTTATTTTCTCGCAGTAAAAAGTATCCTGTATGTTGATCCGGATAAACAGCTATCACCATACCAAATTTCATCAAAATCTGTCCTGTGGTTTTCTCGTGATGCGTTCTCAGAGAAACAGACAGATAGACAGACAGGAATTCTAAAAACTATAGATTCGGCCTCTTTATCGATAATAATGACTATTTCAATAAGTTTTTCCAAAAAAAAAAATACCACCACTTCGTCAGTGTGTGCCTACCAAGCTAGCAGTGCTTTTTCTGCGTACTCTATTTTTAATACTGTTAATGCTACAAATGCTAGGGCAGTTTTAAATAAATTATATTTTTCCTCAAGAAATGAAGAACAGAAATATGGAAATTAGTGCGGGCCACACACGATATCGACAAAAGGACAGACGCTGCCCACCGCCGCGCCGGGAGCTTCTTTTAATATTTATAGAAGTACCTTATATAAAGGCGTTGGTGTGATTATCCAAAATTATAGCCAAGTTAATAATTACACGTGTCTAAGTTTTGAGTTATTATTCCTTATATCGCTACATCTCATTCGAGGTCAATTTTCCTACTAATTTAGATGCGAGTTAGGCCTAAATGACAATATAATGATGTAAACTATGCGAATAATTACGGAAGCTTCATTAAACGGGATTCATATCACGGTGACCTTTGATGAAATGCAAAATGTGATTGTACTTTTTATATTTATATCCTTTATTTACTTATAAAGAGTTCGATCACGTAGTAAATTCCTCAACGTAGTTCTTTTACCATCAACATACATAATTCTTTTTACATAGGAACCGTAGTAAATGAAAGACGGATTTAATAAAATAAGAATCAATACCTAATACTTTCTTAGATTTACGCGAATATTTGACATTTTAAATAAAACTATCTTTTCGGATTTTTTCGCGTATTTATTTTGATTTTTGGTTCCCGACGTTTCGAATGCCTTAGAGCAATTTAATTCAGTCTCTTCCGTGACCATGATTGCTGTAAAGTATTCGAAACGTCGGGAACCAAAAATCAAAATAAATCCGCGAAATAATCCGAAAAGATTGTTTTATTTAAAAAATTAATACCTAATTTAAATTAGTGATAAAATGTTTGAATGATCTAGCTCCTGTAGTAAATATCCGCCCAAGTTTAATTGACAGTTGTTAGATTGTCGGTAATCTCTCGACAAGCTAATTAAGTGCCATAGAATTACGCCAAGGTTAATACGATCATTTATTTGATTTAGGTAGGCTAGGTTTTTATTATACGCTAGCTTTTGCCCGCTGTTTCTCTAGCTTAATTATTTTATATATAATTGCTTCCCTTCTAAGTGTCTTCTTCCTCAATAACAAATTGATAAAGCAGGAATTGGCGCGTTCAAACCAATAAAATACAACACGTTCTTTGGCTTAATAATATATTAGAAAGCAAAACCTAAAAAATCTATATACAGATCCAAATCGTTAGAAACGCTTACGAGATACACGTAAATAAATAAATTGTTTTGAAAAAAAATGTTAATAAATTAATGTGTTTATTTAATAAAAATAAAATAAAATATAGAAGAAAAATAATCAGGAGAAACAAGAACCCTTAGAAGTTCGCTAGAAAATAGTACCTTTAGGTATATTATGTAATATTTACTTTAACATAATAAAGTTAAAATTTTATCATCACATACAGGTGTATTTACATTTTAAAACAACTGATATCGAATAACTATAACTCGACCGTCGACGTATTTCGATCTCCCCTGGTGATATTTACTAACACATTGCATTAGTCACTAACGAAATATTTGCTAATGTCATGAAAATTATACCTACATTATACCTCGTACGTGGATATCATTTCCTAGTATGGATACACGTGTTCTTCTTCGTATATTTATGCATGTGAAGGGTGTAGATTATCGTCTGATTCCAAAAACTGTACGGCTGCTTTCTATTTACGAGTTTAGATTAAAATATGCACTTGGAGTTATAACGTTAACAGTCAGTATGATGTTTCATAACAAATTTGTTTTTTAGGAATAAGTACCTTATAAGGAAAAAAGGAACCCTTATAGGATCACTTCGTTGTCCGACTGTCTGTCTATCTGAGTGTCCGTCTGTATTTCTGTCTGTCTGTCAAGACCATTTTTCTCAGGAACGCGTCGAAGTATCAAGTAGAAATTAATATAAAATATTTAGGTCTGCAATTTCTTGGAGCTGTGAAAAATTCAAACTTCAAGTCTACGCAAACATAAGACATGGTTGTTTATGCCTCATATTTTGATACTCGCAAGGGAACGAAAACCTATAGGATCCCGTTGACCAAGAATCATCAAATTTAGCAAGAAGCAATGTCTTGTAGCACAAGTAAAGGGCAAAATCCGAGAACCGTAAATTGTAGTTACATCACAAAAAAAAAACATTACGATTATCGACTTGTTTAAATATTTTATGCTACGGAACCCTTGGTACTAGTCAGACTTGTCCGTTTTTTAAATTATTACTAGCCTTTACCCTCAGTTTTTAAATAATAAATAGATAAATAAATATTCTCGGTACTTAAGTTCCTATAAGTACCAATTTTCATAGCTATCATATTTATATTTAATGACGTAAAGTTGATGCACCTTATAGTGGTGAGTTGCAATATAATGGATAGATAGCACAAAGTCCATATTCATGTAAAAACACTTATGTGGATGTGTCGATATCTAATACCTATCGATCGATGAAAAAATTTTAAGGTTGGCGGTTTTTCAGTAACGATTTTTTTACATTTGTATTTATTTACATAAGTGTAATTCTAAATCGTAGAAGTTTATGCACGGTCAAAATAAGCGGAATAACAAACATATTGTGTTATGAAAATTAAAAACATCAATTAATAATTAGTCGAAAAGTGATATATAATTCGAGGAATGCTATATTTTACCTGGTTTATTCCAATCAAGTGCTGGATATATGGAATGAAGCCCTAATCGATCAGTGCCGCCAACTGCCCAGTAAAAAGCGCTAAACACTCCATACGCGAGGCCTGCGCCTGCGCCGAATAGAGCGTGAGCTGCTCGTACTGGATGAGCGGTGACGGCTAGCTCAATTAGCATTACTAAAGAGTTGCCCCCATGTACTAGTAGGTTTAATGTGTTGATTTCATGAATCCCTACGAATTAAAAAATATATTAATTAAAGTAAAATTTACTTCAATGCAAAATTTGTACTGTAAAAGAAAAGAAAATATTTTTTGAAGTTATACTTTTTTTGGCACGTTTGAAAAAAAATTATGAGAGTAAAATTTTTACGATGCACGCGCAGACCGATAGTCAAAAAGCGACACGATCAAGTTAGCTGCATTCCTTTCACAAACAGAGAGTTGTGACCAACGACCACTCTTGGGCTGAGTGGTCGTTGGTTGTGACATACGGGATGAAAATGACACACACACACTTTTTTTTTTTAATTTCCGTTTATGCGTCATGATCATTTTTATTACTATCATAAAAAAAGAAAAGGAATACTTTATGTGAGCTTCATATTTTATAACTTGTAATTGCAAACATAAGAGTGTACATCGTATTACAGAGAATAGGTACATAATTATAGTTGCAACATCTACCCTGTCATTAAAACTTATTTTTTATGGTCGACTGCAATTGAATATAATTTTAAGTTTAATTATGCAAATACAAATCCATGTTAATTAATTAAAACGAATATTCATAGACATATTTAGATAAAGTTAATTTGTATATAAGAATAATACATTAAAAAAGAAACCTATTGAGAAACCTATATTAAGGATAGGTTTTTTATTTCATTTATATGTTAGTTTTGTGAAATTATTAAAAATTTAAAAAAAGAGAAGCATATAAAGAAAAAGTCAACGTACTAGGATCATGAACCAACGTCCAATAGACAAGCGTAATGACGAAAGCAAGGTCGGTAGCAACGGTATGAGCCAGCCAGTACGCTCGACATATTAACGGTGTCCTCTGTCGACGTGGCATTGGAATCTCTTCATCTTCGCATGCTGTCAAAAAAGTTTTAAAGATACTTTAAATTTAAAAGTTGTGGATAATAATATCATAAGGAAATCAAAATTATAAGAGACATAATACCTTCTTAGATTTACGCGAATATTTGTCATTTTAAAGAAAACTATCTTTTCGGATTATTTCGCGGATTTATTATGGTTTTCTTTTTCCCGAAGGTATAGTTGTCTGTAACATCTATACCTTCGAGATATCTAACACCTCAGTCTCTCCCGTGACCATGATTGCTGTAAAGCATTAATTAAAGAACCAAAAATCAAAATAAATCCGCGAAATAATCCGAAAAGATAGTTTTATTTAAAATAATAAGAGACATTCAATATATTTCGATTTTTATGTTCAGTTAGCCTAAGCAATTTTCAAATAAGGATATATGTACGTAAAATTACTAGAACTTAACGAAATAAACCTTGTAAAAAAAACGAAAAATTTATTTCTTTCCTTCTCCTTCCGATGTCTAAGACGTATTTAAAAAACTGCAGTATTGAAATTAATAGTCCTAAATTAAAAATATATTAACTTCCTCCAAAACGCACTAATATCCCCAACAATATCGCCCACGAATGCCATGCATCAATTGTCGTTAGTTACAATATCGATTTGGACGTCAATAGCAGGAATGAGGAACCAATGAGGATAATTGTGGCGGGTGACGGCCCACTCTAAGTTTAATTGATGCGAAATTGTATCAATCAGCCGCACTACAAGCGTTCTGTCCCCTCGCGTGTTTTGTGTACTTCTGTACAGTTAGCTACACAGATTCATGACCAAGCCTACACACGACATAACTATTTGATTGAACTCAGTCAGCGTTAAAATAGTCCCTACGCCATGCACTGTAGATCTATGTGAAAGTTCTTCTAGTTCGCTATACTTAGAGGTTGGTCCTCAGTTCAATTGTATGAGTAGTTGTGTTCTGTTAATTTACGATGTCGGAGACAGGGCATGTTATAAATTACCGGAATATATGTCTGCTATTTTGAATGTTATTTCTTTTGAATTGTTTTGTTAACCCATGAAATCAAGTTAGAGAGTTAGAAAACTTAGATGACATTATATGTATTTGACAAACTTATTAATAAAAATCAGAAAAAAATATTAACTCATTTCATATTTTAAGATTTGAAGGTGGTAAAATTATAATTTATAATAACAATAAGGTATCATAAATATCGTAACATAAATATAAGTATGTTGATATAAATACTAACTAATAAACAATCTAATATATAAGATAATTTTTATCACGGCAAATAATTCCCATATGATGAAGTATCATCATCATTTTTCAGTTTTTGATACGATTTTAATATCGCTGAAGCTCTGAGTTTGTCAATATTCACATATCACTTTCGCACTTTTCGCCACTTTTTTAGCTTTTTAGCTAGCAGAACCTATTAGGCTATAAAATGCCTTAAAATTGATGAATACAATGCTAAAAAACCTTGCCTTTGAAAAAATAGCAAAGCCATGACATTGTGCAGGTCATTAATTATGTGAGAGCCGTTGATGTTCAACAATATGTCAAGAACACGTTTTGTTCAATACTAAAATGATTTTATCGTTTACATACACGTATTGTTTAGCTTTATGTCTAAATCTGATTTTATCATGCAAATATTGTTTACAAATGAAAATGTGCTTTATATTTAAACTACAATCGTTAGTCCTTTTCTATAAAAGTTATCTAGCTCATAAACAAAAAAAAAATAATTTCCTGATTTCTGATTTTGGCAGGTAAACTTTATTATAGTATATTTTATCTATACATATAATAAAATTGTAACTAAGCCGAATCTGTACATTACATATTTTTTGGAAAATCTTATTGAAATAAACATTATTATCGATACAGAGGCCAAATCTAGTTTTTAGATTTTTTTTCTCTCTGTCTGTCCGTCCGAAAGTCTTTATATTATTATTATATATTGATTGAATGTTGTTCATAGACCTAGAGAATGGACAGAGCAATACTCTAATCACTAATGAAATTGACGACTCTCTAGAAAGAGAGAAAGCGAACGTGCGGCCAATACCTGTCTTTTATTTTAATTTGAATTGATAAAAGGAATGTAAAAGTAGTAAAGTAAATAGTAGTAAAGTAAAAAGTATATAATATTATGTAATGAATGGCAAATGGTTATAAATATCCATGAACGAAGTGGTTAATTCGTTCATGTAAATATCAATCTTTATTAATCGTATTTCAATTAATACAGAATATTTCTGGCTGTACATTCTTTTTATCTCTATCGCGCCTTTCCGCCATTTTTTTTTCATTTTTAGCTGACGACTGTTTATCTGTTCATTGTATACTATGTAAGCATGGTTAGTAATGTCTCAATAACTCCAGATAACGATTATGTCAATCGCCAAATAATTGTTTCAATGTTAGAAAAATATGTTTTGTAATTTATTTTTTCTTCTAAATATTTCAATTTATTATTTTATCAACGAACTACAAGTTCAGCTTAAACGACAAGTACTTAATGCGTATGACACATGACTTATGATCGTGTTGATTACTCTGAATGAGCCGCGGGAGCTCTTTGAATGCTAACAGAGAAAATCACGCAAGGCTCTTGACATTGCTGAAATCAGTGGTTATTATTTTAGCTATTGCTACAATTGTAAGTGATATTATTAGAACAGTTAAAATGTTACATACTTTGTATATTTTTTTGCAATTTTACGAAGTAGATCTTTACAATCCCAAAGCAAATTGAGATATTTCTAAACATAAATTAAAAGATTTAAGATTTAGTTTAATAAACCGTTTTTTTTCTAAAGTAACAAATAAAGCTACTTACGTATGTTGAAAGTTCTTTGATTTCGGTATCGGTGGACCACTGCGAGTGCCAGGCCAGCTTGAAGCACGATGAGCAGATAGCCCCAGTTGGTAAAATAAATGAACCATTTAAAGTAATTAAGTTCCACCTTAGGTCCATCGTAATGCCGAGGCAGCCGTTGACAGGCAAAACTTGACAAGCCAATTGATAGTACGGTGAGAAATAATAACCACCTGTAAATCATGAAAGAGTAAAAATTAAGAATAAGGTTCTAAAATTTATTTTAAATATTATTTACATTTCAGAAATATTTATTAAAAACTTGATTAAAATGATAAAAAATGATGATGAAAATTTTGGAGCCTAATCAATAAAAAAATTGTCTACGTCTAATAGCCAGGCAATGTAATTTGTTGAGCGCAATATTTCACCTATAAACTAGGTATGATGTCACCGGTTGTGTCCCATGCTGCCATTGGGAGCAAGCGAACACGTAAGGGGGCGAGTGTTCCAGGTTCAAGGCCCTCCGGCTGGCCTGCCATATCCTGTGCAGCATTGCTGGTTTACACGTTTTTTTCATCGCTGCGAAAATATACATACGTTTACATATATTCTTAGCCCTCATTAATATAATAGTTACCTACTGCCTGACTTTATCAATGTTATGTATGTTAAAATAGGCAAAGACAATACTGTTCAGTACCTTTGTACTCCTCTGTTTATCAACGTCAACCAATTTTCTTTTTTTGTTTGGTAGACATTTGATGAGCTTTTGTGTTATCAATAAAAAAATGTAAACAGTTTTTTTATATAGACAGGTAAATTCTATTCATATAATATGTTTTCCTAAAAGTTTCAATAATGATTAGTGTCGCATTTCGACCATTAGGCGGACACCAGTATTTTAAATTAGATCATAACTAAGTACTTTAATTGACACTAGCTTTATGTGAGACCGTTAAATCGGGTATGCGAATCTGGATAAATTGAAATGAAAATAAGCTTTGCCTTTTATTAAAACATACAATAATAAAAATACATTGAAATCCGTTCAATGGATATAAGTGTAAAACACCCAAACAGACTGACAAACAAACAATGAGTGTGGTTATTTAAATATGTACATACAATGAGAGCATTTAATAATATACTTATCTTCTAAATTAACATTTGTACGTAACTAATAATAAGTAAAGAAACATCTTGGTGAAATTGGCTATTACAATAATGAATGAAAGCATTCAGTTGTGATTGAGAATTCGTTATGTCGTTGTAGTGCTAACAGCGGATAAGACTTAAAATAAATAACAACACTGTATTCATATACAGGGAGTTCCAATAAGGATTTCCTGAGAGTCAGTAAAATATGCTCGCACTTACTACAAATTCTTTGACAACACGTTTGGCTTAGTTTGTAGTGACCTTACTTGCTGTGCTAGCGGTAGCGGGTTAGAGTCCCGCTGGGGGCATTCATTTGTGTGATGAGCACGAGTGCTTGTACTCCAGTCATGGGTGTTTATATTTATATTTATAATATATAAATCTCATCGATCTGTTGCTTCGTGTTCGCAAAATGATAAATCAACAAACACACTTATAAATTTTTATATTTAATTATACTTATGCACTTATAGGAATTTTTCCTTTTAGTCTGTCAGGAGAAATAGGTAAGAAGAGAGCATTTATTATGAGCACAATATGAAATGGCAGTTTAAAATATTGAAAGTATTTAAATTTATTTTTGTTGATATTAATAAAATCAATAAGAGGAGCAAGGAAAGACCTTGCATTAGTCGACTCATTTCTGGCAGTTGGAGGGCAATGAAACAAGTAGTTTGCTAATTGTTCTGGGAATATAGGGTAAATGACGGTTGAAAAAAGGGGTTGAGGCATAAAAACTATACGTATACCAGTAAATATGAGTACATAAGTTTTGCGTTTCGTTAAATTTCTAATCGATTTCGATTGCTCTATAAGAGGGGTAAATTTTTTGAAGTATATGTTTTTGTTAGCGGTGTACTAATATAAGGTATGAAATTTAACGATGATAAATGTAATAACACAAAAATATATTGTTACAAGTTTGAGTCGCTATTTTACTTTTACTGTAAAGAAGAGAGCTCATTTATGAAATCATAAATGAAAAAAAAATATCAATGTCGGTAGGAATACATACATATGTATATGAACTCTATTATGTATCACGTCGGCTTTAAGAATGGCTAGCATAAATGGATATACAATATAGCGTAATAGTAGATACTGTAGATGAGCGGATGCTGTTGATGTTATAAATCGCAATAGGACGTGGCACTTGTACTTGTAATGTATTGTGTGCTCGTTCATAGGGAATAGTTACGTGAACCGTTTCGTTTCAACATGAATTGTACAATTATTAAGTCATAAAATACTTTTAATATTGATAAAAAGCTGTACATTACCCACTTAGTACTTTGTAAGCTATGAACTGAAACAATTTTATGTACCATTTTATCTCAAAAAGTCTCATATATTTTCGTGTGCGCATAAGAAATCAGAAGTCAAGGGTCACGACAATCGTTATTGAAGTGAACTTCTTTAGAATCATTGTGATTTGATACTTGATGAAACGGAAATGCGACACGAGAAAGAGACAAACACATAAATATATAGGATTAAGCCGGCGAGAGAATGAGATAGAATACATTGCATAGGAAGTGAAAAATAATACTGAATAATATGTTATGTAATATACGCTAAATAAAATATATAATAACTTTTAACTTGGTAAAAAAAAAACTAAACTTATTACTCATAAAAATGAATATTACTATGGGATGCATGTGCATAAATTAATTAATAAAAGTTATTATGACTTTTTGTTGCCATGGTAACCGTTGTTATTGTCTGAAAAAAGTTGAAAAGTTACTTAAACTTTTCAACACTAAAGCTCCTCAGTTGCTACAAAACAAAAAAAAACAAAAACTATTGATAAACAAAGAAGAAAAATATATTGTGTCTCAAACTCCAATGTTTTCATTTCAGCTAGGATGTACATTCTATGGCAAAGACAGTATGAGTATAGTGTACATTCATTCATTTTACCGCCTTCAAAAAAAGAGAAGGTTATCAATTCGAATTTGTGTTATATAAATTGTCATCATCATCATATTCAGCCTGCTTTCGTCCACTGCTGGACATAGGCCTCTCCTATAGCACGCCACTGAGCTCGATCTTCAGCTCTACGCATCCTACCATACGCATATAAATTGTAATGATTCATTATTAGGGTTCTGTAGTCAAAAGTCTACATACATAAATAACCGTGTGGGTATCTGGATAGGTCTTTAAAGTTCAAATGAATGTTTCTAAGTGATATTTTGGTTCAAATCATTAGTTACAAAGTTATATGCTTTTAAAATTGTAAACATTTGAGATAATAGCTTCCAAAAAACTTTCAACAATTTTTTTTTGATGAAGATACATCGAATAGTTTTTGATTTATTTTCCATTACATCAGTACCGACGCAAGCTTATGCAAATTTGTATATATATATATATATATATATATATATATATATATATATATATATATATATATATATATATATCTCATCGTAATACAAACTAATTATGCCGTCAATAAAATAAATATCGATAATAAATATTTTATTTTACTCTAACGTGACAAATATGTTAAAACAATACATAAATTTCATGCTACGGAACCTTCGGTGCGCGAGTTAGACTTGCACTTGTCCCATTTTTGACGTAATGAATCGATTTTACCGAAATCGTAAAAAATACAATATACTGTTGTTTTTGGCTTGTAGTGTCAATTTTTTTTTTTTATATAATGTACTTTACAACTTTAATCATAATTTTGTAAAAGATTTATGTATGTGGTACAAGTGGCATCTCGTAGCAAAATATTCCATGATTTTATGACTAATAGTAAGCTACAATTTGAGACAGTATATCCTACGTACATAAATGTTTTAATCGTTACTAAATTGGTAATAAACAAACCCGTTATGTCTCACGCAGAGCATAATATTACGTAGAGGCTTAGGGACTGACCACCTGCGGACTTCTTGGAAACATCACGCCTGATGACTGAGATTAATCTCTGTTAAATGACGAAAATTTATTTGTATAGTATTAAAATAATATTTTTTGTCTGTATTTAATTTAATTATAGCTAAATATTAATCATTTTTTTATTACTGAAAATTTTTGGTATTTTTTTTAATTTAAATACGAAACTATTTATCATAAGCTTTTGGCAGATAAAATTATACTGTTTAATACAATATTAATATTTTTTATTTCTTTGTCTAAAAAAATATATTTATAAATGAAAGAAAAAATATTTTAATATTTAAAATACGTTTTCATATGGGTAAGACGTAAGTAATATGATTTTGGTGAGATTGTAATTAATTGGTTTGCTTATTGATATGTTCAAGAATATTTTTGACCGATGGCCAATGCAATATTGATTGTTTGTCGAGACAGATCAAGTGCATGTCAGTTTAAATTGCGATTAATTGGCATATTACGGTTGCTGGGCGATTGTCTCTACCGTGTTCATTGACCACCTGCTGCAGAGACAGGTCACGTCCTACTAATAACTAATTTATACTAATAGCCAGCGATCGTAATGAAGATGGGATCCTTTGTTATAACTCTAATGCCATTCCGCATCAATTTGCGTTGTTATATGATACTCTGAATGAAATAGTAAAAATATTGACCTTTTAGTTAAACGAATTCAAGATCGTTCTCGTTATTTTTTTATTATTGACGATATTACACACATGTGAATTGTACATTGTACGTGAGAAACTATTTTAGCAATGGAACTCTACACATACTTCTACTAACTCTACTATAAAACACAAAATACATATAGGATTAAATTGTGCTATTGAAATCCATTATATCGTCCATGTTGAATTGTACAAAAAAGATCACGTTATAAAAAAATATTTTTGTTTTCTAAAGTTGTATTATTTGGCAAATTTGAACAGAACGTACCATTGGAGCGAATGAATTTAATAGATTTTAACGTTTAAATTTAATTAACACCTCATAAACTTTAACATCTTAATTTTTTTGAAGAATAACACATTTAATTACCAGCAAATAATTTTAAGTCACTTATAAAATATATTGTATGACATATTCTATCAGAGTTGTTATTTTTTTATCGTAACGTTTCGTAATGGATGGACGCAATTGAATGAAAATCTTTAGGTTTAGACATATTCATTTTCAGACGTGCGCGAAAGAAAGCAATGTAAAAACTTTAAATCATTATTATTGAGATATTCAATTCTACGGTTCGCAACAGTAGGCGACCGTTGACAAATAAAATTCGTAAAAGCTGATGCCATTGTTTATTTCATAACTCTACAATTATTTTTGTAATGTCTTTTAAAAACTATTACTAACTTAGAAGAAATGTTATCTACTTGTCTTCACTCCTCCTTAGATCAGTACGGGGCCAAAGAGGTCAAGGATCGGTACTTGCAAAGTGGCCGTTGTGTATAGCTACCGTAATATATCGAAGTAGCTGGATATTTGGCATCGATGGGGAGCGTGGATCATGGCCTAATTTATGACATTGTCATAGGCCTAAACATACATTGTATTCAACGAATATCATAATGAAAGCAGGTTTCATTTAGAACCACTTTTCTATCAGTTGCTTCATCGCGTAATATGGTCTATCATCGAAAATTTATGCGTTCCGAAAACGTTCTAGCTCATCGGGATGCTGTCTTATGTCATTTAACTCTCGAGTAAGTTGTATATTAATTATGTTGACAAAATGTTTATTTACTTATACCAACAGTTTTTTGAATTTGTAAACTTTGATATATGTAGTACCTTTCTTGTGAATCATTATAATGATGGTACTTTTACAATAGTGCTTACTTACTTACTAGTTGGGTAACTGATTTCACTTATAATTATCTGATCGAAGAGCTTAACAAGAATATTTGTTATGGACTTAAGTTCCTCATTTCAAACGAATTCTGTGATGGTTTAATTTTAATTGAGGTCTCTCCTGTTTTCATTTTGCGGTGATTTAGCGGTGCTTAGCACGCTCACGATGTAATGTTCGGTGGTCAGGAGGGGTCTTGAGATACAAACAGCAGCGTGACGTTGATAGATATTTATTTATCACACGACAGTTAACTATAACTTTAAATTATAACTTTCTTACTTGCTATACTGTAGCTGACTCGGAGGTCCGAAGGAACTCAAGGAACTCAAAGAACTGACTAACATTATGGGTGGAGGACATTATAAACCAATACAAATGTAAACACATTTGGGAAAAGTAAACAAACAGTCTCTGTACTCTATACTCATTAACAATTACTGGAAATTTGATAATTCTAAATGTTGTTTATATAACATTAAAGAACAATAAGTCTTTTAAGATCAATGAAATCTTTGATATAATATTAAAGTACAATAAGTCTTAATGATCAATGAAATCTTTGTTATAATATTAAAGAACAATTTATTAAAAATATGTAAACATTACAACGACTGATAAGATGATTTTAGTATTTAAAGAATATTTAATCGGGACACGGTGGGATATCTCGAATTTGGTATACAGTTTTCGTGGGCTATCAATAGAAGTCAGATTGACCGTCCACAAATGTCTTGCGACCAACTTGGTTCAAATAGGAAAAATGTTTAACACCGTGCTCTCCGAAATCACAGGGTATTTGATAAAATTAGTTCAGGTAAATGCTCTGACCTCGACACATCCTAATAAAGAGGGGGAGACTATGACTAGACTTCAACGCAAAACTAAACACACGAGGAAGCAAAGAGCTGAGAGAGGGGCAATTTGAAGTTATATATCAATATTATCATGAACTTTTCAAGTAACGAAACCATAGCACCCTGACGATGGATAAAAAAAAGAAACTCATTAATTCGATGTAAAAGGCAATATTTAACTATGTCTCTGTAATTAATGTGGTAAAATAAGGGAGCTGCTATCTATTACCACTGATAATAACAGTGGTAAGTTTGAAAGATTTCGACTGATGACGCCCATAATCTAATCAGCTGTCAGCGCTAATCCAGTGGCAAACCCCGAGAGAGTTTACCTCAACCTTTATTTCATACGAGTATCTATTGAGTATATTGTAGGTTTTATTGAAATACGTTGCAAATGAATTTAAATTATTTGGTTAACTTAGTTTTTATAACTGAAGAATGCGTTTTTCACATTGTTTATAGTTTAGTGATTTTATTCGAACGTACCTTAAACAACAAATTATTAGGTATATTTTTTACTATCCGATAGTATAGAATTATTTTTTAGTACTCACAAACACCAACGTCACGGTTCTAGCCTAAATCTATATTTTACAAAATATGTCTAGGGTCTCCCGTTTCTAATTTATGACTTTGTACATTTTAACATCATGATTTACTTTAAATATCTCCAACACCAAATGTTTTATCTCATCAAGTTAAGTTAAAATAAGGCTATATGGAAATAAAATAACAAAATGTTGAAGTAACAATAAAATCGCTGGCATGTATTTTTATTACAAATTTTGTCCTAAAATATAAGTACAGAAAAGTAAACTTAATAGAAACTAGAAATAAAAAATAATACAATTGATAGGAAAACGCGTCAGAATTAAAAAATATGGATGAAAACGTATAATAATTAAGCTTTTACTGCTTATGTTCAAAATACTTATCAATTTTTTTATATCTATTTATATTTAATTGTTCGATAAAAGTTCTTAGTGTTAGTATTATATAAAAACCAACAACAAATGTTTTAGCGGTAAATCGAATGATGCACTTGATAGATTTCAGTTATAAAATTATTTGTGTAGGTACTTGGAGAGGTCGAGGCTGTAAATTAAGGCATTACGAGTATAAATAGTAGTCACATATGATAATAACAAATGCATATATGGACTATAAATACTTTAGGCCTACTCTATATGTAACTATTCTTAATTTCATTTAAATAATTAACGGTCGACGTCCGCCTCAAAAATTTCAATGACCTAAATACTAGATGTAATTTCTATTTATTTGCCTGACTTTTTAAATTTAACTCGTGCAATTGTAACAAGGACGGTTTTGTTATTATGACGGTATTTTTTTTAAAACACATATAAGTAGGAAATGAACCCACCTGAAAGTCCTCTTATATGGTCAATTTCTTATTTAGATAAATTATAAGCAATGATACGTACCGCTGTGATCTAAGAAATATGTTATATGTTAGAAATGTGAATAACAAATTCAGTGATGTATGGACTCGTACAGATCCAATTTCGGCAAACTCATATTTCGTATTAAATTCTGTTCTAGTGTTCATTCAAAATACGATGAAAGAAACCGACACTGTGCAGATATTGTTGTAAATAACAAGGATTCGTATTACTTTGCGATGTTTTTAAAACAAAAGGAATTACATTAGCCAATGCTATTGCGCGCAGGCGCGCTGCTCACGACCCACTGCGGAGCTTGGATGTCAATATCTGTAATAACCCTCTCCTGCCAGCTCGATTAGAATTTATTTCACAGCTATGGTCTAATGTTTCGACGAATACAGTGTCAATTTCATAAAAATTTTTGAACAATCGATTAATAAATATGTTTTATAATAGTAATAAATGGGATTCTGATTTGGACAATTGAACTGAATATCAGCACTAGGTAGTAACACAATACACGAGTGGCGATGAATTGTTCTCTTTGATTTACAAGCGAATAAAAATTTATAATTTGTGGTTTGATATTTGTAAGGTAATTATTGAAAATTCAATGAATGAGTTCAACATAGAAGTGGGCAAGATATCGCAAACGGAACATATTTCAGTATGCCTAAACTTCTAGCAATTTTTGGACAAATGAAAATGAATTAAACTGAAACAGTTAATTTTTTTGCAATTGTTGAAGGAATTTTAGGTTAAATAATACTAATAATTACGTACCCGTTTCATTGGTTTCCAAAGGCACTAGTACCAAATGTTTGCACATTATGATGAGATGTATTAAATTTGAAAACGTAATTTAAATCGTAAAATGCTACAAACTGTCGTAAACAAATGTCATATGGAAGAGCCGGGCGTGTGCAGCACATGCACTAGACGCTCCCGCACTGCGACCGGCTACCGTCCGTCAGCAATATTATAGGCCAGTGATTTCCAACCTGGCTGCTAGCAAGGATAATTATTATATTTAATTAAATATTTTAATTAGCACAATATCATGTCATCTGCTATTAGCAATTCAAGATATATGTATATTATGATAAAAATGATTAAATTCTTCATTTATTTACTATGAATACTTAAATACTTTTTTGCAAAATAAAAAAGAAATGGTTCCGTTATTAACTACTGGACTACGTAAAATTTATATTTTAATTTTATTATTTTTAAATTTATAATATATTTTTTTAGAATGTGAGTGCATAAATTTTGCCTAATCAGCAAGCTTGTTTGTAGTTTGTTTTCTTCTACAATAACCGTTATCTCTTTCTCTTTCTTTATTTTTATATAGCTATTAAGAAAACTATTTCCTCCTTTTATATTTTATCTTTTTCAATTCTTTTAATATTCATTTTTAATAAAAGAAATGATCATGTTATATTTTTCCAAAATATGTACTCATTAAAGCGACCTAAAGAAACTTACTTGACATAGTAGCGAAGAAGTTTGTTGTTTTCGAGAATTTTCCAGTATTTGATGATGATTACGTAACAACTAAATGAACTTGCGTTATATAAACAATACCTAATTGATCAGTAATTATGCAAAAACAACATTTTTTGCTAAAGGCCTAATTAGGTAAAATTGCAGTTACTTTTTATTTTGTAAAATAATCGTTTGTAAAAAAACTACAAGCATCGCTGGGTCAAGTTGTTTGTATATTCTTATAGTATAGTTAGGTATACTTGGGTTGGCCAGGTGTGCACCCCTCGCCCGACTCACGTCATGCATTTACCTGCCGAACACGTGGTCACAATCTATAGTTAATTCATCACTTCCGCGGAACTGGGGTCGAAGTTATACATTAGCTCGTAACATGCTATGTATATAGATTAAAATTTGAACTTAATGTCCTCCACATACTTGGGTATGCTTAGGAAGTTTACTCTAGAACCTGAATAGATAATTTATATGGATTGGTTAACTTATTATTAAAGAATAATTTTGTCACAGGAAAAGAAAAATAAATAAAAATGAATAAATTACGGAAATAGCAACTAATTTACTTTAGTCTACTTAAAAATTTTATATTGAAGAGTATTTTTTTTTCATTATTGTGATTATTTAAAGTGTATGTCTATTCTGTACAAATAAGTAAAACTGAAAACGAAAACCTAAATAAAATCATAAGTGTGATTAGTTACATATAAATAAGGTACAACTTTTATATATAGCTCTTAGATGTTGTTCATTAATTAAGAACTAGCGATTTACCCTCGCTTCGCTCGGGTGCGTCCCTAGGTGCGTTTTAAACACAAAAAAATAGTTATTGTGAGTGAACATTAGGACATAGACATATACAATTGCAGCCTTTTCGGGCCTTTGTAAGATCTACAACATTTTAGTACATTATTTTAATGTTCAGCCAGCTTTATAGTCCAGTCAAATAAGGTCTGAAATCAAAATTTTGGCACTCAACTTTGCATTTTTGATATAATGTAGTTTTAATGATACAAAAACAATGTCTGAAGGTTTTCGCGTCTGCCACCCTCAAGGCAAGGGTTGAAAAAAAATTTCATGTGTTTTTTCGCAATTACTCGTAAACGGTAAAAAAATAGACAAAAAAGTCTTAATAAAAATGTGTAGAGCTTAAAATTTTACATAGAAAAGGTTTCATGACTTTTTTCTTCCGGTCAAAATTAACCGAGTTAGGGAGGTTTTAAGTTTAAGGGATGAACGTAAATTTTAAAAAATCGTAGATAGTAGAAAAATAAGCAATTTTTTTAAATTGCTCAAAAAATCTAATCTTTAATTTTAGAGATACAGATTTTTTAAGTATTAAAAAAAATATACACATTTTGTTTGGATTTACGAAAGGCCGCTCTACAGCGGATGCTACTGTTGAGCTAGTAAAAATATTTGTAAGGCTTGGAAAAGGTCACAGGATGCACTTGGGATATTCTGTGACATATCCAAGGCATTTAATTGTGTGCATAATGAGACGCTGATCAGGAAACTACATACATCACTATGGTATTAGAAATAAGGCACTCGACCTTCTGAATTCGTATTTAAATAATAGAATACAGAGGGTTGGTGTAAATGGTATGAGATCCCCTGAGGCTCGGGAGTGTTGGAGTGTAGTAGTGTCGGAGAGTGAAGTGTTGAGTGTATGAGTGTCGGAATATGTAAATTTTAAATATTTTTAAAATATCTTTTGTTCTTAGTTTGGTCACGAAACAGGCAACGTACGACGTTCGCTTCTATAACGCGAAATGAATTTCTAGCAAACTATAACAAATCTAAAGTGAAAACTATAAATTGTCTCACTCAATTCTATAGATTTACCTCTCTGCATTTAGCCAAGTGTTTACATATAAGACATTCGCATTTGGATTTTGTAATTGTATGGTAGTGACGTCTAGTACATACGTAAAATTAGATGTTAAATTCATAGGTTATAGCCGTTAGGCTAGACAATATTCATATTTTCTATATGGTGGCGTAGCTGATACGGATGAAACCAGGAACGGTTATCGAAGGGATATCACTGGGTAACAACTGGGATGGACCGCGCCCAAAATTAATGGAGATTCAAATATTTTATATTTATGGTCAAAAGGTATTTTTGTAATAAATATAAGTAGTAAATTTATTCATAAAATAATAAAATAAAATATAATAAAAAAACACAAGCTACACGTGTAAAGATGACATTATATTCAATACTGTACAGTATAAGTATATTATGATCTGTGACTTTACTCACCATACATAATAATTGTAGAACATAATATTAAGTAATTTTAATATCCCGCAGCATTATACCTGTTAACTAAGTTAAAATACGTCATTTTTGTGTAGAAATATTAGTATATGTTGAAAAATATATCTACATCTTCCTGCATTGTTGGGAAAATTTATTGAACAGGGTGAAACTTGAAGTGCTCTCAAAGCCCAAAAGGTCCCTATTGATCTGAGTTCCGCGTAAACAATTAAACGAGGCTAAGGGTCGTGAAATATGGTTTTCGGGAATATATTGTGAATATTTCGATAGTCTGCATTCACAATAACAATTTTTACAATAACCAATGTATAATAAGGCACTATGGTACTATTGCCCCTTTTATTTATAATAAATTCAATGACCTTTATACTGTGAAAAATCTAAACAACTATAGAATAAAAGAAATTTTAAAAGAATGGCTAATTAATCTAACGTATGAGCAAACTGAAAACCTTGTGCTAGTATAAAAAAATATATATGAATAAATAAAATAAATAGTAAGATATACAAATCGCAATAGTAACATAACACACACCAAAGCCACTTACACACATGCACACACACACACACTCACACACTCACACACATGCACACACACACTCACACACACACACACATACACACACACATACACACTTTTTTCTCTCTGTAAGTTAGTTCTATTTTATTATCTTTTTTGTTCACATTAACTTACCATAATATAACGTGTAATTTCATGCATTAAATATGTATGCCTGATATGGGAAGGTACTACCTTCTTAAACACAGTTTTCTAGTTCAGGAGTTAGGGCTGTGTGCATTTGTTACCATTGGGTTATTTGAATAAAGCCTGTTCTTTTTTATAAATATCTCACAATATATCTTCCTGGTCTCTCCTTATTTATAACTGGTTCGATTTTTTAATAAGTACACGTTTTATGACTTACTAGCTTTAGCCTGTGGTTTCTAATTGGTGGTTATTTTCATTATATTTCAGCAACTGAACTCGAGCAATCGCGATCTTACTTGATCGCATCGTATGAAGTTATGAACATGGACGAATTAATTCGTTCATGGTTATGAACTATGAGTCAGCTGTAATTTTAAATGTACCCACTGTTATTACCTATGTTTAGAATCTGACCATTTAACCTAAGTTAATGATAAAGCGAAATCATATAGGTTTTTTTTTATTACTCAAGACAATTTCTTAAATGTTCATGTAGCAATAAATCTGAGCACTTTGTACGGTACAATAGGGGTGTGATGGTCTTTATAAAAAGCTCTATGATATCGGTAAATACATGGTAGACTTGTCGGTATTTGTTACACTGTTTTAGATAACAACTGTATTTTATTAATAATTTAGTAAACATAGTAATACTAAAACGTATTGTATGGTATGTAAATATATTGTTAAAAATCCAAGGGGGAACGAAACTGTTACCAGTTATTACAGATAATACTTATAACCTAGCAAGGTACAAGTACAGTACTTCAACCAAATTTTTAAAATTGAATTGTACAAGCAAGCCTTTTCTGTGAAATTGCTATGTTCTATATTCAATTACTCTATCTATGCATATAATAAAATTCTGAGTCAATTCTGTACATTAAATATTTTTTGGGAAATTTTATTGAAATAATCATTTTATTGCTACAGAGGCCGAATCTACAGTTTTTAGAATTTTTGTCTGTTTGTCTGTCTGTCTGTGACCGCATTACGAGAAAACCACTGGACAGGTTTTGATGACATTTGGAATGATGATAGCTGGTTATCCGGGTCAACATAAAGGATACTTTTTATCAGAGGAACTGGAGCGAGGGTGAATCGCTAGTTGCTAATATAATTGAAAATTTATGTGACTGCTTTGTTGTTCTAGTGACTAAAATGCACAGCAGTAGATCAGGAGGTTGTGGGTTCGAGACTCTTCAACTGTCAGTTCTCTGATAATGTTATTTATAATTTAAGTGAACTCATGTATATAAAGTTATTCAGGGTTTTATTTATTTTAGTAAAATAAGTAATCACATCAGGTTTTTTTTTATAAATTAAGCTA